CAAGGGCCTTGGCCCCGAGCTGCCCTCCAGAGCTCACTGTGTTGTCCTACAGCCTTTGACTCCTGTTCCATTCCCTGCAAATGTCCCACGTCCCATAGACGTGCTCGTGCCCCTCCTGTAAGCAAGAGTATTCTGTAATACCGATCCGCAAGCCATTTTCTTTTGCTTAATGTTATGGAGGACATCATTCTATGAACTGGTAACTTGAAAGCGCTAGAGCTTAGTGTTTCTGAGAACCTCTCATAGATTCTTTTCTTTTCTTTTTTTGAGTTGGAGTCTCGCTCTGTCACCTGGGCTGGAGTGCAGTGGCACACTCACGGCTACCCCAGTGTTGACCTGCTATGCTCCAATGATCCTAGAACTACAGGCATGCTACCACACCCAGGCTAGAACTACAGGCGTGCTACCATGCCCAGCTAATTTTTGACTTATTGTAGAGATGAGGTCTCACCAAGTTGCCTGGGCTGGTCTTGAACCCACGGGCTCAGGCAATCCACTCACCTCAGCCTCCCAAAGTGGCTGGGATTACTGGCTGAGCCTCTGAGCCCGGTCTCACAGATTATTTTCAAGAATAAAATCCTCTGAAGTCCCAGCTACTCTGGAGACTAAGGCAGGAGGATCGCTTGAGCCCGGCAGTTTGAGTCCAGCCTGGGCAACATAGCAAAATCCCATCTCAAAAAAAAAAATTAAAAAAAATCCTTAAGCAATGCAGATGATCAACCCCTAAGAACTCTATCCCTTGAATCTCTGTATCCTCAGCACCCCCACTTAAAATTCAGCCAACAGGTGGACAACTGCCTGGTACTGGTGCTTAGTTATCAGCATGCCAAAGTACCATGCTTTGGGGTATGGCTGTCTGGGGCCCAACACACACCACTGGCCTGGTTCATAGCAAACACTAGTCAAATATTAATTCAAAGTTGAAAGGCTGCACCATACTGCAATCAGTTGTTAAAGCTGTGAGTATCCATCTCACTTAACAGCGAGTTCCAGAGAGAGCCCACGGGTCTGACCCGCCACAGGTGCTTTCCCTGTTTGCTTTAGGTATATCAGCAGCACCTCAGTGAGCAGGTGACAATGCAGCGGCTCCTGAATAAGAGGCAGACTGGAGCTTACCTGTAGTCCCAGCTCGTCACAAAGCCGAGGCGGGAGGATCGCTGGAGCCCAGAAGTTAGAGGCTGTAAGGGCCTGTGACTGCGCCTATAGATAGCCGCCATACTACAGCCTGGACAACATAGTGAGACCCTCGTCCCTTTAAAAATAAAATAAACTAAAGTAAGACAGATTGGGTACACATCATCAGTGAAGCAAGGACTCCCAATGTTTTAAACGAGATGTGGGCTGGGCGTGATGGCTGGCTGGGCACGGGGACTCGTGCCTGCAATCCCAGCACTCTGGGAGGCTGAGGCGGGAGGACTGCGTGAGCCCAGGAGTTCGAGGCTGTGGCAAGTTGCGATCGGGCCACTGCACTTCAGTTGGGGCAGCAGAGCAAGGCCCGGACTCAAAACAAATACAATTCGAAATTTGGCTTTGACATATGTTTTCTGAAGCCTCAGTGCAGCCATCAGAGGGAAGAGAGCACTCTTGGACCTCCTGACGCCTATTCTACGGTTACGGGCAGTGTCTGTTCTGGGTGAGCTGTGGGTGGAGGCGGGCACGGGAGGCTTTCCCTGCTGGGAGCCTCTCTCCACAGGCCTCACTCCATCCGGTCTCCTGTGAGCCCAGCACCTTCTCCCTGCAAACTCAGTTCAATTGCCTTTCTTTTTTTTTGTGGAGCCTCACTCCGTCGCCCAGACTGGAGTGCAGTGGCCGCTCCCGGCCGCCGCAGCCACGACCTGCTGGGCTCCGGCGATCCTTCCGCCTCAGCCTTCTGAGCAGCTGGAACTACAGGCGCGCGCTACCACGCCCGGCTGATTTTTGATTGATTGTAGAGATGAGGTCTCACCAAGTTGCCCAGGCGGGTCTGGAACCCGCAGGCTCAGGCCATCCACTCACCTCAGCCTCCCAAGGCATGGAATTACAGGCTGAGCCACCGAGCCCGGCTTAATTTTTGATTTATTACAGAAATGAGGTCTCTTCAAGTTGCCCAGGCAGGTCTCAAACCCGCAGGCTCAGGCAATCCACCGGCCTTGGCTTCCCAAAATGCTGGGATTACTGGCTGAGCCACTGAGCCCGGCCTTAATTGCCTTTCTTAACAAGCGTAAAGCCACCCAAAAAAGGAAGGATGCTCACTGTCTATGTTTATTTGTGCTTACTTGGAAGAATACAGGTAACCTCTCCTTTTACTGCCTCCGTGGAGAAAGTCAGCGATGGAGGAGTGAGAAACTGCGGATGGAGAATCACACACGTGCTTTTCTAACTACCTGTCTTTGTTACGGAAGTGTTGGACGTGGCCCTTTACTTTCAAAATGGCTGCGTGAAGTAGTGCTTATGGTTCCCTGGGTAACCTGACGAAGAGCCAACAGACCCCACAGCATCCTGACTCAGCTCCTGCTCACCAGCTAAGTGAAGTGCCAACAGACCTGAAAGGAAAATCACCCCACCAGACAAACACAGCTATTTCAACAATGTTATGCTGGATGTGATGGCTCACGCCTGCAACCCCACACTCTGGGAGACTGACAGGAGACTTGCTTGAGCCCAGGAGCTCAGGGCAGCCGTGAGCTATGACTGCACCACCGCACCCTAGCCTGGGCAACAGAGCAAGATCTTGTCTCAAAAAAATAAAAAATTAAGTTATATAAACTTGGGTTTAAATATGTCATATTAAAGCAGATAGTACAACACATCGCCTCTTAGTTATGCTACTACAGCTTGCTATTGCATCTGTATGGTGTATCTGCTATGCAGTATTTCTTCCCAATTCTGAGTTCAGGGACCCGACATTCAGCACAAAATTGACAGTGCTGGGAACACGGACACCATGGGAATGGGCAGAGGCTACAAATCAGGGTTTGATTTGCTGTCGATTGTCCACTGAAGAACTTGATGGAGGCCAGGCAGAGTGGCTTATGCCTGTAATCCCAACCTTTTGGGAGGCCGAGGCAGGAGGATTACTTGAGTCCAGGAGTTCGAGACCAGCCTGAGCAACATAGTGAGCGCTTGCCTCTACAAAAAATTAAAAAGTTAGCCAGGGTGGTAGCGTATGCCTGTAGTCCCAACTAGTCCCAGCTACTCGGGAGGCTTGAGGTGGAAGGATGCCTGAGCCCAGCAGCTTCCAGGCTGTGGTGAGGCATGGTCTGCCATTGCCCTCCAGCCCGGGCGACAGAATAAGACCTCGAGCAGATTCAACTTGAAAGCGTGTCCTGTCCATTGTGGACAGCACAAAAAGGACATGTGCTTCCTGTACCTGAACTAGTGTGACTCAGCAAAGGAATCTGTTGTTCATGTCATTGAGGTATGAGTAAAGCCCCAAATGAGTGAAGCTGGGAAGGAGGAAAGTGATTACAGTAAGTTCCTAAGGCGTAAAGATCTAGGGTTGGGGTTCACGTTTCACTTATTATTATTTTTGAATAGGAGTCTCAATCTGTTGCCCAAGCTGGAGTGCAGTGGCAGCCTCATGGCCACCACATCCTCTACCTGCTGGCCTCAGGTGATCCTTCCACTTCAGCCTTCCAGGTAGCTGGAACTACAGGCGTGGGACACCATGCCTGGCTAATTTTTTTTATTTATTGTGGAAACGAGGTCTCCCCGAGTTGCCCAGGATGGTCTCGAACCTGTGGGCTCAAGCAATCCTCTCACCTCCACCTCCCGAAGTGCTGGGATTACAGGTGCGAGTCTCCGCGCCCGGCCTATTTCACTTCTTAACATAAAGGAAAATCGCAGCCTTTGGATCAGAAGGCTCCTCCTCTATCAATGGCAATAAGCAGCCAGTTACTGGCAGAATGAGACAGTAATCGGGCATTTACTTGTATTCTGATTTTGTGGCACAATTTGAAGTAGGGTCCGAGGGCTTAAATCACAGACACCGACACAAAGTTATAAGTAACAAAGGAGAGGTTTATTAGCCAGATTCGGCCATGGCCGGTGGCCACTTGCTGGATAATGAATTTCAAAGCAAGGATGACCAGCTGCAACACAGGGCTGCCTTAAGTAGTTTAGACTTATATTCTAGTGGGCTAAAGATAGAACTTGGGACGTTCTGGGGCTCTTAACGCATTATTCTGCTAGCGTGGGAAAGCAAGCAATTTTACAGAAGCAGATATAGCCAGTTATGCAGGTGCAGGGGATAAGGGTGTTATTAATTTTGCAACGTTTTCAAAACAGTTTTCCGGAAGGGAGTGAAGTCTGTGAAGCCTGCTTCAAGGTCAAAGCCACTTCTTTGTTCTCCCCTTACATTCCCTTCTTTGTTCCCTCTTACAAACTGTTGGTGATAAGACTTATACTGGATTTTGCGAGACACATCGAAGGTATAACGTGAAAAGAGTTCCCAGTAGTTGGGTGCGATGGCTCACGCCTGTAATTTCAGCACTTTGGGAAGCAGAAGTGAGAGAGTCGCCTGGGCCCATGGGTTCGAGACCAGTCTGGACAACTTGGCGAGACCTCGGTCTCCCCAGGTTAAACCAAAAAATTAGCCGGGCATGGTGGCGCACACGTGTGTTTCCAGCTGCTTGGAAGGCTGAGGCGGAAGGATCACCTGAGCCCAGCAGGTCGAGGCGGCGGTGGCCGTGAGCGTGCCACCGCACTCCAGCCAGGACGACAGAGACTCCAACTCAGAAAAAAAAAGAGTTCATAAGAAAGAGTACTGCGTTTCATCATCTGCAAATCGTGGGTTATGCACCCTTCACGTCACAATAAATATTGTAACAACCTCTGAGCCTACACACGCTGCGGAGAGCTGGTGTTCAGCACGGTGCCAGGCGCCGAGTCAGGGCCCGGGAGCCGCAGGGACCTCGGCGGCCACTTCCGCGGAGACAGCGACCGCGAAGGCCCATCCCCGAGACGCCGCCAGAGGGCGCGCGCGAGGCAGGGAGCAGCTTCGCGCTTTGTCCCCTCGCACGGCCCGTCGCCCGCGCCGCGGCGGGAAAATCCGACGCGGCCGTGGGGCCGCCGCCCCCTTCTGCCCTCGCGAGCTTGCCCGGGTCGGGCCGCTGTAATGGAGGAGACGGATGCCGAAGACCAGCAGCGATTCGTTTACGCACAGGTACAGGAAAGCGAGGTCCTGGTGGGCCGGGCAAGGACGGCGTCGAGTTTCTGAACGGAGAAC